CACATTGGACTGCTTCCACAATGGAAGGGGCAGAGTTTTGTTCCCACTGGAATAGACACTTACTCTGCATAAGATTTGCCTCTCCTGCATGCAATGCTGTAACCTAAAGTTACATTTGGCCTTGAGGCTATTTGCAGGGCAAGATAAAGAATTCATAGATGGGCGGCCTTGGCTGTCTGCCTCTGTGGCAGACAGTGCATTCCTCTGGGAAGCTTCCGTTTCTTGATATTCTCTGAACATTAGTTTCTCTGTAAAAGAATTTCAAGGATGCATGATTAGCTAAAACTTTAGTGTGATCCCAGCACCAGGGTACCTGGACTTTAATAATTTGCAAGTTCTATTTGGTTGTAAAGCTCAGTGAGTCAGAGGTTGAAGAAACAAATATTTACCTATGAGTGCAACTAAAGAAGCAGGGAACTGGGAATGTGTGCTTTTAGTTTTCAACCCATGTATGCTGGGTTCACCTTAGGGGAACCAATATCAGGACTAATATTAACCAAGAGCAGGTAACAATGCTTCTGCAAAAACTACCATCCATGGACTTACAGAATGTCTTATCCACCATCATGGTATTCCACACAGGATTGCTTCTGATTAAGGAACTCACTTTGCAGCAAATTAAATGAAGCGGTGTGCCCATGCTTATGGAATCAGTTTATTGATCTCACCATTCCCACCATCATGAAGCAGCTGGCTTGATAGAACCGTGGAACGGCCTTTTGACATCTGGGTAGTGATGCTTTGCAGGGCTGGGCAAAATTCCTCAGGAGTTTGTATTTGCTCTGAAGCAGCATCCACTACATGGTCTGTTTCTCCCATAGATAGGAATCATAGGTCCAGGAATCAAGGGGTGCAAATGGGAGTGGCACCACTCACTGTTACTCCCAATGACCCACTAGCAAAATTTTTTCTTTCTGTTCCTGTAAACTTATGCTCTTCTGGTCTAGAGGCCTTAGTTCCAAAGGAAGGAATGATTCCGCCGGGAGATTAAAAAATGATTCCACTGAACTGGAAGTTAAGACTGCTCCCTGGCCACTTTGAATTCCTTGTGTCTCTGAATCACTGGGAGTTACTATCCTGGGTGAGGTGATTGATCCTGACTACCAAGGGGAAATTGGACTGCTGCTCCTCAATGGAGGTAAGGAAGAGGGATACAGGACATCGCTTAGGGCATCTCTTAGTGTTACTATGCCCTGTGATTAAAGTCAATGGAAACTACAACAACCCAATTCAGGCAGGACTGCTAATGCCCCAGACTCTTCAGGAATGAAGGTTCGAGTCACCACCCCTTCCCCATCCCCAGGTAAAGAACCAAGACCAGCTGAGTGCTTGCTGAAGGCAAAGGGAATATAAAATGGGTAGTGGAAGAAGGTGGTTATGGGGGCCGGCCCTGTAGCCGAGTGGTTAAGATCAGGTGCTCCACTTCGGTGGCCCAAGGTTTTACTGGTTTGGATCCTGGGCACAGACCTGGCACCGCTCATCAGGCCATGCCGAGGTGGCATCCCACACAGCACAACCGGAAGGATCTACAACTGGAATATACAACTATACACTGGGGGGCTTTGAGGAGAAGAAGAAGAAAAAAAGAAAAAAGAATAAAAAGGTGGTTATGAATACCAGCTATGCCTGCATGACCAGTAATAGAAATGAGGACTGTAACTGTCATGAGAATTTCCTCCTTATTTTGTTGTGAATACATTTGTGTTTACATACATATATGATATCTTTATTTTCTTCCCTTTAGTATCCCCTTGATGTAACATAAGATGTATTGACTTTACTTCATATTACTTAAGTGTTAACTTTACATCATAACATCATAGTATTTAAGTTATGGAATATCAAGGAGAAAAATGCCCAAGAAAATAGTGCTCTCTAGAACAGCAATTGGAAGTCAGGTGCAGTAAATAGTTTATGAGGAGGGAGTAGCAGAGAATAGGAGGGGAATGAGTTAGGTTTTAAACATTTCTTGGACTGAGGTGCCATAGGAACCACCGGTGGGAATATCTACCCAGCAGTTAAAAATATAACAATCTTAGAGAAGGTTTGGGACTGGAGATTTAGACGTGGGAATAAATCACATAGAGGTACCATTTTGGGTTTTCAAAGTGAGAAGAGTATATATTCATATCTGAATTTCAAATTCATAGACTCTAGCTTGGAAGGAGTCTTAGACTGTTCTCTTATTTCCATCTCCTACCCAGTTGGAAGCCTGTAGTCTTCAATCTCTTTCTTACAATGAACCCCCAGTCTCTTAATAATAAGTATATTTAAGTGAAATGCCCTGGATTAGCGGACAGAGGTGTAAGCATGCTCTCATAAGTTTGCAGGAGAAGCATGAATCAGATTCCTGAGAAATAGAACGCTTCCAGTTCTATTGATTACTGCCACAGGTTTAGGACAACATTCCAGAAACAAAGCTGAAATCCACAGTCTCTTATCACAAACTTTGAGAGGCTTGCTGTACGAAGCTTTGTATTTAGATTGTTTTATGATTTCAAAGTATTATTTTCTTTTTCAGCTTTAGATCTACTTTGACATAACTGCACACCAGCCTGAATGCTCAGAGACTGTAAAGGCAAATCTGTGGAAGACAGGAAGATCCTGCTGGGGACTGACGGGCCAGGCAAACAGCATTGTGAAATTGCTTGGTGTACAGGCCTCAGATATACCCACATAGTCAAATACACTTAAAAACAGTTGAAAAATTTTTTCTATCTCTATCTATCTATCTATCTGTCTATCTATCTATCTATCTATCTATCTATCTATCTATCTATCTATCTATCATGTATCTTTCTATCGCAATGAGAGGTTTCATTGTAAAATTTAATGTCAAGTAGAAAAGTATAAGCATTTTCATACTTTCAGCTTTCTCTCAGAAATAGGTAAAGATCTGTTTCATATATCCAGAAAGTAAAGCAATAATTTGTCTCTTTAGTTTAAGTGAAGCTTGTCTGTTTAGGAATTTTTCCCTCATTATACCCCCCAATTCTTTCTGCTTTCTTGCTCTCCCCATTCCTCCTGGCCCCTCCCTGTCCCTGTGCTTCTTCAGCTTCATGTTTTAGCTGATACACACCTGGGGTCCTCCCCAGGCCATCTTCTCTGGCTGCCGTGGTTCAGTCCCCATTTCAGAATTAACTCTTGACTCTTTGCTCTCCTGATTACAGTAAGACTTGTGCCCTGAGGCCTCCGCTGGCTGGCACCCCCACGCTCTGCCCCATGGAAGCAGACTAAGATGTTGTGTCTCAGGTTCTAGGTAGTTCCAACCTGAGTGGGCACACGTCATGTGTCAGGGAGCAGGGTATGGTGAAATAAGAAGGGGACTTCCACCTGCAGCTGAAGTCCACTCAGCTTGGGTGGCAAGGACAGGGCAGAGCTCATAATGCTGAGCTGGCGAATGGATCCTGCATGAGCTACCACTGCTGTTCCTCACCCTTACCAGCCCCCATCCCCACCCTGTATTCATCCAACCACCCAGCTTTCAGTTTCACAATGAAGCTTTCCAATCATACAGAGCTCAGGTTCTTAGTGGCACTCCACAGTGGCCAGCTTTTCATGTGGGACTCAGAAGCAGTTCTTCCTCATTAAAGCTTTCCGGAAATGGAGCAGTGCTGCTGGTGCTCTGCCCAGATTCCCTTGGATCTACGCCACCAGGCCTTTGCCTCGTCCCCCAGCTGTGTGCTTCCCTCCTACAGGCCTAGGCCTGCTTCCTTCAGAGAAGGAAGTATGTATACCCTTGGGTACTGGGGCAGCTTTGCCCAGAAGATCTAAGAGCACAAGAGTCTGGGAGCTGACAGTTCCTTGGGACAGCCCACAGAGACGGGCTGATGGCAGGAATAGGGAAGCCTGGCTCTCTGACTTGAGGAGTGATACTCCCTGAAGCACCCCTGAGAATCAGGTGGAGGCCAAGACTGTGCTAAATCCACACCCTCCTTGGTTTTTGCCTTCCCCATCTTGCTTCTCTGCTCAATGATGATTCCCTCCTGGGAGCACTTTTTATTTATTTATTTATTTTTTCAGGAAGATTAGCCCTGAGCTAACTACTGCCAATCCTCCTCTTTTTGCTGAGGAAGACTGGCCCTGAGCTAACCTCCATGCCCATCTTCCTCTACTTTGTACACAGGATGCCTACCACAGCATGACTTGCCAAGGAGCGCCATGTCCCCACCCAGGATCCAAACCAGTGAACCCCGGGCCAGCGAGAAGCGGAGCACAAGCACTTAACCGCTGCGCCACCCGGCTGACACCTGGGAGCACTTTTTAAATAAGTCACTTGCACAGGAATTCTCATCTCAGGCTCTGCTTCTGGGAATCAACCCCAAACGGGATTCCACAGATTTCCTGAGCTGTTTATCATATGCTCCTCATCGCTTGTTGCCCAACTTTGGCCTTTCTCTTTGGTCTTCAGACCATCTCCAGCTTGAGACCACTTGAGTCAGGCTCAGCTCACTGGCTTCCTTTCTTCATTTCAACCTCTGCACCTCATAACCTAATATTGCTAAGAGTTGCGCCATCTTCTGTCTCTCATTCTTGACGGTTAAGGATAAAAACTGGTTCCCCTTTCACATTCTCTTTAGTGTTCACTTCTCATCCTCTTTGCTTCTCTTGTTCATTTTCTCTTATGTTGAAGTTCTACTCTTGTTTATTTCTCTTTTTTCATGAATTTGCCTCTGGGAGGCCAGGCTATTGTAAACTAGTGATGGAATTAACTCATATGTTTATTTTGCCTTAGTATAGATGACTATATTATCATGTGGTAGGTGTCTACATGAATGATCATGTAATTTAACTTTAAACATCTACTCAGGATTTGATTACATCGGTTTTTTTTTTTTGGAGGAAGTTTAGCCCTGAGCCAACATCTGCTGCCAATCTTCCTCTTTTTGCTGGGTAAGACTGGCCCTGAGCTAACATCTGTGCCCATCCTCCTCTATTTTATATGTGGGACATCTGCCACAGCATGGCTTGATAAGCAGTGCATAGGTTCACACCCGGGATCTGAACCAGTGAACCCTAGGCCACTGAAGCAGAACATGCAAACTTAACCACTGCACCACTGGGCTGGCCCCTGGATTTGATTACATTTTGATGAAGCTATTATAGTGTCATAGGATCTACAGATAGTGTAGAAAAGTTTAGGATTAGAGGAAGGGTGTCATTATCTTAAGAATCCTTGATTATGAGTCTCGAATGTCTAAAACCTAGTAGGGAAGTCCTGACCAGTTGTCCTCAGATCTCTGTGCGGAAGATCAGGGTGCTTCCCGCCATCTTCTTCTGGTAGTCCTTGTCAAATTCCTCATTCTGAGCCACAGTAAAGTGGTTCTTCCAGTCCCCAGGCATCCCTGAAACCAGGCAAAGTCTTAGTGATAGCTACAGGAGTACAGGGAGAAGTGAGCATGCACCCTTAGAGCTAGCACAAGAATGGGGGAAAAAAGGGAGTTTGCCTCTCAAAAACGGTACAGTAGTGTCACTGACAAGAATAAGTAATGGAATGTGAAACGCTACTGGAAAACCTAAGCAGATCATGGGGACCACAGAATCTAATTTGACATCTTAGAATATATGTCTTATGTACCTTTCCTCATAAAAGGGGAGATAGAGTGGTCCATGATGCTGGTAGGCAAGGTGGTGTAGTTGGCCATTGGGTTTTGCTTCATTACATCAAATGAGGTGTGATAGATGATTTTATCCAGAACTTCCTCTGGTATGTCTTTCTCTAGGAACTTCAATATCTTCTGAATTTCCCGCCTTGGGTCCTGTGTGTACAATAGTCATACAAAACAAATAATTTTGGGTTTTCTGATAAGGACGACATTCTGTTTGGACAAATAGGGTTTGGAGATGGATAAGTTAAAGGATAAATTTAAATATATTCAACAAATATTCCTCAAGTGGTGACTATGTGTGAGGCACAACACAAAGAAGAGAGCCATCCCTGCCCTCAGGATGCTTACCTTGCAAAGGGGATGAAATGTAAACACAACTAACTGCAATACCCAGCACAGAAAACATGCTGCCTGCATACAGAGAGAGTGCTATGAACTTTGATGGGGAGGATCAAATATATCTTCTGGGGGAGATCAGGAAATGTTGTATAAAGGAGGGAAAGTGCTGCTGGTGAGACACAATATGGCTAAGTCTAGTTTTTGAGTTATAAGAGATGGCCAAAGAGTATGAATTTAACAGAAGGTCAGTAAGAGGATGAATGAAAGAGATCTCAAGTTGCCCCAGAAATGTGAATCCTTGTGCCTTGGTTCTGTCTGATGAAAGAGATGGAGAAAAAGGAGCTGTAGCATTTGATTAGATTTCAGAGGACTTCTTCTTAGCATTGGCATAAGAAGTAGTTTTGTGATTATAGGACACTCATACACTGAGTCATAAGGGTGAATGTGTGATGCCACGCCTACACAATGACTTAAAATGGAGAAATCAGTCGTCAGACCCAATATGTGGGCTCAATCCTGCTAATGTTTATACGGGTTTATATGGGTTTGGGGTACGGAAGAGGAAGAAGGAAACTAAATTTATTGAACACAACTAGGCACTTTACAAATGTGATCTCATAAATCCTTACAGTAATTTCATGAGATACAAAATGAGATGATATCCATTTTGTAGGAGGAGAAACATGGTTCACAAGTGTCAGGATTAATTCGACCATAAAGGCATGTGATGTTTCCTAAGGAGGAAGGATCTTTTGGAAATTGCAAACTGAAGCAAAGAAAATTTAGAAGACCAAAAAATTAGTTAGAGCTTTTGAGGATAAAACCAAGTTGGAAAGAGTGTCATGGAGAGAGAGAATTCGCACTGAAGGCTTTTTGTGGGCAAGCGCACATACGAGGGTTCTAATTGGGATTTGTTGCATTGGAGAATGTGGGAGGAACTGATAGAGATCGCATTGGTCCTCACCTCCTTCATGTCCTCGTAGAAGAGGTAGAGAATGTGGTGCTGGTCTTTCACATCCCACCATCCCTTTACATGGTCATACCAGGAGCCCCACAGGACTGAGGGGAAGGAAAAAGATGTGGCATCAATATCAACTTGAAACTTACCAGATGAACATGAATGTCTCAAATAAAAAAGGACATTTAAGAAACACAACCAGAAGACAAAGACCCTGGGCAGAATTCTTATTTGCAGAAGACAGGGATTTTTTAATTTTTAGGGAGATGATAAAAAGTATTCCAGATTCCTTGGTTTATATTTCCACCCTTGAACTTACTACTACATGAAATACAGTCTTTTAGCCAGGGATTCATAATTTTTATTTCCCTTGCCTTACTGCATGGTACCTAGGTCAGAGTTATGCAATAAATATTGTTTCCTAACAGGCTGATTTTGAAAAGAAGACTTTCATTCTGAAAAATCCATAATTAGCAGATATTTGGGCACCTTTACTCTCTGTGATGGTGAATAGGAGGAAGAGAGGTGAACTGGGTATCTGTTGTTGACCCTGCCAAATCCACTCTCCACCCTCCTCCACACTGTGAGGTTGACCTCTATGGATGGTGTCAATGGGCTCCCTTGACCTCAGAAGGCTTTTGGAGGCAGGAAGACAGTGAGGATGGTGTGTTTATTTCCTTGATGTTCTTCCTGTTGGCTCACTATGGTTGACTGTTTCCCCTGCCAAAGGCCTTGGCTCCCGTTAAGGGGCCCTCTCCTTTCTCCGGAGAGCCATGGCTCCGTGCTGGTGCTGCCCCTAGAATATTGTACTATCACCGGTTGGTTTCTTTACACTTTGCCCACAGCTTTCTAAATAGTCTCTTAGCTAAACTCTCCCCAAATGACCCAGTTTGAGTGTGCTGTCTACATCCTCCCAGGACCTTGATAAATACAATGTTAATGCAAACACTTCCTTTGTGATGTCAGTATGCGAATGAATAAGTAAACATGAATCCACAATTTCCGTTTACTTACCTTTCCCAGCTTTGAATGTCTCAACATATTCCTCCCATGTACCAGGGTCAGGCACCATTTTATTCATTCTTGAGAAATGGTAGTAGGACACCAGACAGTCTTTGGCATTTCTTGCCACGTAGATAATCTCGAATCAGCAAGCAAGAGGATTTAGACACAGAGAGAAAACAAGACAGAAAAGAGGAACCTTAGACTATCCCATTTGAGTAATTGAATGTGCTTGTGTTTGCTGTGATCAAGATGACCATATCCTCCAGTTGCCCAGGCAGAGTTCCAATTGATATGTGTGGTCTTAGTATAATTATTAAGAGTATCCCTTTTTTCTCTCAAAAGTGTTCTAATTTGCATGATAAATACTACAGTCACCTAACTACGATATTCCTGGAGGTTAAGGAGGCTGCTGTGGTAATTTTCCGTGTGTGAATGGAAGGTCCTCCTTGGCTTTCACTAAGCAAGGAATCTAACTAGGTTGCAGGCTAGAAGGAGCTAAAGCAGTTAGCCCTCCAGTCGCATTTGACACCATGAAGTGCAGCCTTACAGTGAATTATCACTCTTTTCATTTGCTGATAAGATTGCAGGACCTCTGAGGGCAGTGCTTAGCCTACCATTGGAGCTGCTTGTGATGGTGTCTTCTCATAGGAAAAGCAGAGGTATGATTTGGCTGAGGAGAGCTGACCTCTTGGCTTCTTGTCCCATTGTCCTCTTTTTCCCACTCACCACCCAGCTTCTGATCCCAGCCTGAGCTCCTGTGTGCACTCTTAGCAGAGCTGGGGTGGAGGAGCACATCAACAGTTTGTCAAGCATTTTCCCCTGTGTCTCACTTACTGAACAGAACTTCTGTGTCCATACAACCAATCACCCAGTCATATTTTCCTCTTAGCAAATTACCTCAGGCTCCTGCTTTCCCAATTGCATTTCCTCCATTGCTCTCTCAGACAAACACAGACTTCCCAAGGCTCTATCTCTCTGCCCTTTTTCCTATTGCTGGATTTCTCTCCACTATTCATGAAAGCACTCAGGAAACCAAAAATATGACACAACTGTAAGGTCTAATTATTATGTAAATATATTTCTTAATGGTTATTGCCTTGTTGTAAATCAAAGCCTGAGTAACTAGAAGAGGGGAAGTCTGGGCTGGACAATGAACATATTCAAGTGTACTTGTCATGTGGAGTCGGATGGTTGGGTGTGATCTAATGTCAAATACTTAGATTTTCTGAGAGTCCATTGACCCACCTGTGTGAGTTTTCTATTGCTGCTATAACAAATTACCACAAATGTAGTGGCTTAAAACAACAAGAGATTTATTCCCTCACGGTTCTGGAAGCCAGAGTTCACTGGGCTCAAGCCATGCTTTCGGCGGGGCTGATTCCTTCTGGTGGTTCTAGGGGAGAATCCATTTCCTTGCTGATTCCAGCATCTGGAGGCCACTTCTGTTCCTTGGCTGTTGACCCTGTCCTCAAATCAGTCCAATCTATTGCTTCAGTTGTCACATCCACTACCTCCTCCTTTGATCTTGTTGCCTGTCATAAGGATCCTTGTGATGATATTTAGGGCCCACCCAGATAATCAAGAATAATTTTTCCATTTGAAGATCTTCAACTTAATCCCTTCTGCAAAGTCCATCTTACCATAGAAGGTAGCATTCACAGGTTCTGGTAATCAGGATGTGGACATCTTTCGGGGATTCCTAGTTAGTTCACCACTTCATCATAAAATGAAAAGCTTGGACTAAACTCTCTAAAGCCACTTTCTACTCAAATAATCCACAATTCTAAGCAGCTAAAGGGAGGTGCTGCCATTGAGATTTTTACATTTTTAGAAGGGCTGATTTTACAAAAAGAAGGTGTTGGTATGATGACTAACCAAATGTTAGTGTGTCTTATGACAGAGTCCACAATATCATTTGGAAATAATATTGGTTCTTATACAGTAAAATTAACATATGAATGAAGTTATCTATCTGTGGGAATAAACCAAGAAGTTTTCACAAGTCAAGATGACCTGGGTATAACTTTAGGGAAGAAAATCAGGAATGGGATAGCATTTTGATACATGAAAATCTACTCAACTGTATTGTACCTTGTTTGGAGATAGGAGATGGGAAAAATGAAGAAATAGTGAGTCATGGAAACTCAGAAAAAAGGGAGAGTCAAAAGCAATCACTTGCATTGTATATCTGAGTACTGCACTGAGGAGAGCGTCTTGGCAACATTATAGTTTCCTTGGCAAGGGTTCAGTCCAAAAGTTGAAAGAGTCTGCAGCTGGGTTTCCACAGTAGCTTGCCCACTGGGAGAAGATGTGCTGCTGGTTCAGCTGATACAAGCATTTGACTCTGCTGGGTGGCTATACTTTTCACTGCAAATTTATAAATTGAAATTTGGTTTATATTCCATATTTCATTGATTTCAAGACTCGCTGATGAAGTAGGTATCAAAAAGAAACTCTAGTAAATTCAAATTACACTGCATTTATAGGATCTAAATTTTAAAGTGCCAAAATAAAATACAACTTTTGAAAATGGAGGACATAGAGGTCCAACAGTGCCTGGGAACCTACTCCATGATATGCTCCTTGTAAGGATGGACCAATTGCATCACGGTCTTGTGGCTCTCCATTCTCCTTTGTCTCGCTCCACTTTTCCCTCCACAGGTTTTCCTTAAATAAATCCCTTTCACATCTTACTCTGCCTTGGCTTTTGTTTCTTGAAAAATTCAAAGATAATAACCTTCCTCAGGAAATTCGTGCTTTGTTTCATTGCTCACTCTCTTTGAATGTGGCTTAATTGGCAGCCAATCAGAATAGTTTTGTCTGAAAATTTCCTAGTGTATACCCAGAAATAATATTTTGAAGGAAAGGTGGATCCAGAATAGAGTGTGTGGGAATGCGGGGTTAATGCCACCATTTGCCTTATACCTCCACTGGTTATCTTTCAATATCATTGATTGTTTCCACTTAGATAGAGACATTTTTTGGCCATACTGATCAAAACTGGGTTTGAAGAGTTGGCTCTTCCTACCTTTGAATTTTCTTTCCAGAAGGAAGGTGGTAGCATCTGAACAGGCAGATGAGTCTTCAGAGTTCTAGGAGAGGGCATTTTACTGGCCAGATCGAGACCTGGGAAATAAGCCCACACTATTTAGCTGAATATTTCTCAATATTATTATTTTGGAATATGTATTGTCTGGAATCAGGTTTATCAAATAGTTGGCTCTGCCTATAAAAGCCATAAAGTTACGGTTTTTACATGTCTAGTTTTCCTCCTAATGACAACTTTATCATCCTTTCTGGTAGAGGAAAGCCCTAATGAGATACTGAAAACAACTGAGGCAACATTACACTTCTTATCTGCTAGGTATTGCTGTGTACTTGTATGGGAAATAAAATGCTTTGGGAGGTTTGAGGTTGGTGATAACTATGACCCCAGCAAGCTCTTGGATATTCATCCTTTAGGGTTTTCTCTTGCTGCAATGGGGAGTTAACAAAGGCAACTGGAGAAGAGCTGACATCTCTCTTTAAGGGAGGGAAGTTATTGGGCCAGCTCTACAGCCTTAGAAGCTTTGTCTAAAGAGCTTCAGTCTTTCTTTCAACATTTACTTTCAAGGCCAAGAACTACAATCGTCAGTAGTCACATGCCAGCACTGTGCTCTGTGCTGGGATATATTTTCAGATGAAAAACTGAGCCTTATAGGGGTCAAGTAATTTTTCCAAGTTAGTAAATGCGAGAGCCAGGATTAGAAATTGGCCTGTGGCTGTGGAGAACCATAGAGGGGAGGCTTAAGAGACTTTGTGAAAAACAGTAGGGAGGCAAGGCAGACTTAGATAAATCAGACACAATCCTCTCTGGAAATAGTAAGTCCAATGCTAAATGTTAAAACACTGAATACAGGCTGGAGTTGGCCACACACAGCACCAACCTTGGGGAAGGGGCTGGCAGGTAAAGCACAGTGGCAGCCTTGGAGAAGAATAGCTTCTGATGGAAAATCAGATAAATAGAGAAGGGGAGGTACTCCCTGGAGACCTGGCAGTGAAGGGAAAGAAGGAAGAGGGAGAAGATTTAAAGATCCTGCAGAAATGAAAGAAAAACAGGGCATGCCAATTCCTCCTTCTCCCTCAAGCACTGATACCGCCCATAAAGAAAACTGCACGGCAGAGGGCAGAACTGACAGAAGAGAATGCTTTCAAACCCGGACTTATGGCCATGAAATGAATACAAACAGAAGGAAGCAGATTTCATTGATACAGAACTACTATAAAAATCAGAGAAGGCAAATCAGAGCCTCTAACCTGATGAAATATTCTCCCCAAAAGCCAACTACAAAGCTGAACAAAATTGTGACACAACACTCCAAAGCGAATTAAATATCCTGAAACCAACATTTAAGAATGTGATAAAATAACTCAAATATACAAAAATTCAGAACATAAAGAGACCAAAAAAAAAAAAAAGTGAGAAGTGAAAAAAGATCTGATTGAACTCAAGAAAGAGAAGAAAAAGACAAAACAACATAAGACGTGATTAACTCATAAGGTTGACAATAGAGAATAGATTTAAATGAAAATTTAATGAAGGACATTGAAGAACAGAAGGAAATAACCAAGAAAATGGCGATGTGATAAGGAAAGAAGTAAAAAGGGTCCATCCAAGGGAAAGTGGCGGAAAGTGCTGACCTAGAAGATGGTAAAGGAGGTCTGACAATGGTAGAAAGTAGAGTTTCTGAGAAGAAAAACTGAAAGAGCAGAATAGAACTAATGTTTAAACCTATAATCTGAAGAAACTTTATGGAAAAGGGGGCCTGAGTTTATGTCTGTTGAGAGTTTAGCTGAACTACTCCATAACACCTCTGTCTTGGCGTCCGGTCTGTGTGGCCAAGCAGGCTGGCCGGGGCCTTGAGCTAACACGAGCCCCTCCCGCCAGCTCATGCCCCAGCCAGATGGCAGCCTGCAGAGACCCCCAGTGGCCCTTGTGATAAACAGTCTCCCCCGCTCCCAGGGCCTTCCCCTTAGATAAGACCCTCTTGAAGCTTACCAATTGATCAGGTCGGCCTTATCCCAGGAACCCCAAAGCACTCCACCTGTGGACCCTAACAAGGGTGTGTGCCCCAGGCCCTGCTGCGCTCTCTGCCTGCACCCTGCCTCGACCTCCCTGTGTGGCCCCTCAAGGCATGCTGTGCACTCCTTCGAGGACTTGTGAGTAAGAAATCTCTATTTCAATTCCCCTTGGTCTTTTGTTGAACTGGGGCTCACCATCTGACACCCTGTGGCTCTACTTAACAAATGTTAATTTAACAAAGTCACAACACCTGGCTTCACAAGCAGGACGGTTTGGGTCAGCTTGCAAGAGACCATGGGGAATGCAAATGATTTACTGACTGGCTCTCTCAGAGGGGTAATTCTGTCTGGGAGGGGCCCACTGCCTGCTGGTGTTTGGCTGCACTGCTTTGGGCTCTGCGTCCTCCCTCTGCAGAGTGCTGCCTGAATTCCCAGAGTGCAAGCTCCGAAAAAAGCAACCAGAGTCCTCCTGAACCTCAGAGCATTGCTCTTCGGAGCTGGTCAAAGGGCCGCAGATGTGTTTTCTCCCAATAACTCCCCACGGGGTAAATGACCCCAGCAGATGTTAGACTTTGGAGGGGTTTCCCAACTCTAAGCGCAGACCCAGCTGCTGACTATTAGGACAGTTGGCTAAGATTTTCACAAGGTCCTATCATGTTGGTTAACAGCCGGGACCTGTGCGTGGCCACCCCTGCCCTGCTGCAGGCTCCTGGACAAAAGTGCCAAGCAGCGTCCTTAGAAGGAGAAGAGGGAGGTTCCCTTCCCTGACCACTGTTCTTGCTGGAGGCTCTAGAACTCTGTCTAGGTTCTAACTTGTGTCACAGGGACCCTTGCTGGGGTGTCATGGCCCCTCACAAAGGCAAGAATGGCTGAGGCCTGCAGTCCTTCTGTTGCTGTGTACCTTGCTGCTGTCGCACCTCATATCCTGACCCTATGGGATATTGTGGGTCCCACTCCTGGTGCCTGGTGGCACAAAATCTAATGGCCCAATACAAACAGTCTGAGCACCTGGTGCCTGCACCAAATAAAATGCCCAAGGAAGTTAGCAAGCTCCTCAATAAATGTAGAATGCCCATAGTGGTGGCCTGGGCACTGCTCAGTGCCGTGGAGTACCAACATGCCAAGGTGCTGGGTCTATGCTCTCAGGGTCTAGGGGCCACCTAATCATCCTGCCACCACTGGGCTAGTGGAAGTTCACCTCAATCCCAGTGAGGTTGATTGGGACTCCCCGGAGAGGGAAGTGGCCTCCTAGGAGTCTGGCCACTGAGGATGTCCACCACAGATCTTTCCAGTGACAATTTGTAAGGTCAAATCAGTGTGGGATAATAGAGACTTAGAAACTGAAACTCAAAACTTTACACGCCTTGAGATTCAAAATATTTTAAAATACTTTGTACAGCAGGAGGGAGAAGAAGGGGCTGACTGGCTGTTGAGAGTATTTAATATTGGCTCTGAGCTCTTACTCACTGCCATAAAATGAGGCAACTAGCCCGCATTTCTAAGAACCCCAAAATTCATAGCCTTTAAAAGATCCCCAGAGCCTGAAGGCCAAATTCTTGAGAGACACAGGTGACTCAATCCTCCATTCCTGAGGGGCCACCCAGGATTAATTCAACCAGAATTAAAGCAAAGGCTGCTGCCATGGACAATCCCAATATCATAATTGGGATTTCTAATCATGACGGAGAGTCCAAACCCAAAGGCACAAGCCCTAAAGATATAGAGGGAGAATCCCTTCCTCTGCTACTTGGATTTCTATGGCTTGGCATTGAGCCCACCCTTCTCTCTTGGTTGTTACCACAAAGGCTCAAAGCCAATGGGAGACATTAGATGAAGCCTAACTCCTTCCCTCTGTAATTGGTATGGTCCAATCGGTCTATCACTTCTTTGAACATAGCAACCCAGATGACCTGGGTTTCATCTCCAATCCTGAGGAGGCCCCAGTAGACCTTGAATCCAGAGAAATCTTCTTACAGGGAGCACCCCACCCCGAATTTCAAGGCCATACTCCATTTCTTGGCGACCTCCCATACTATTCAGGAGGTCATGCAGGGAGTAGACATGGTAGCCCATCATGAGGGAGATACTCATCCAGACCCCTAAATTTTATAAGACCAAGGCAGCCCACAACCCCAAGGACAGCCCTTGGGTGCCAGGCCCCACAACCCATCTCCTGGTCCTGGGGCCACCAGGCCAACCCCATCAGGAAGCAGCACCCAGGATGACTCTAAACAGCACAGGGCCTTATGCTGGCAGTTCTGACAAGTGGGGGTCTCAAATGATCTGGACAGTCCTGGTGCAAGCTCCTCTCAGAAACAAGTGATCACCTCAAGACAGAGTCCAATCTCAATGGCCCAGAGGCCTACAGAGGGTCCCAAGACTCCCTCTGCCTCAAACAACTTCCCTCACCTGTGGGCCCAACAATCCCCCAGAGCATTGCTCTAGACATCAGCAGCTGCCCAGAGCTTGTCGCCTCCTGGGGACAATCGCCTCTTCATGACTCTGGTGGTCCACTGGGACAAAGGAAATAGACTTTCTTGACTCTATTAAACACAAGAGCCCAAGTCACAGTAATGTCAGGTAATTCTTCTAAATTCCCTAAGGGAGCCTTCTACAGCCTACGAGGCACAGCAGGTGAAATTGTAAAGGGAGTACACGTTAAGCTAGCAGGTCTATTGGCACCCTATTTCTAAAACAGTTGCCAATGGTGGTGGCCCCCCTGGCTCTGTGTTTTCCTATTAGAGGTATGGATGCCGCTACCCAGTGACACGTCTGGTGAGGTAAACCCTAATTCCTGGCCTTTCTTGTGGGATCTGCCAAGTGGGAACCTGTCCGATTGCTTCCTCCAGTGAAAACAGTAAATATCCCACAATATCAGGTGAAGCAAGGTACACAGGGCCTTCGCCCTCATCGGAGATATGCTTGACACTATGGTCGTTGGGCCACCATCTCACGCTCTGGTAGCCCTCTCTGACCAGTGTTAAAACTGCCACCAATGAATGGAGATTAACAATTGACTATTAATACTTATATGCAGAGGTTCCTGCCATTAAGGCTCCCATTCT